TTTTATACATACATTGACCCCCCCCCCCTTCATTTTTACACTGCTGCTACTCGCTGTGTATTATCTATGCAGTCACTTTACCCCTACCTACATGTACAAATGACATAAATATTTTCTTAACTATTTCTTAAACTGCACTGTTGTATTCGGCGCATGTGACAAATAAAATTTGATTTGAAAATCTAAAATAAGCCTGGAATTTCAGGCTCGGAAAACCAATTAAAACGTAGAACACAATCAAATAAGAGACATACACTACCATTCAAAAGTTTGGGGTCACTCAGAAATGTCCCTGTTCTCGAAAGAAAAGCAACCCCCGTCCATCAAAATAACATCAAATTGATCATAAATACAGCGTAGACATTGCTAATGCTGTAAATTGCTAATGCTGTATCACACTACAATATATCTTCCTACTATGCTGTTGATATATCTGATCCAACCAGCGAGTTGTAGTACCCTGAGTTTTTCCTGAACTGACCAGGAAAAACACAGTCCGAAGCCATTACAAATCACTCTTCAACTGTATATATTAGTTTCAACTCTGAACCTGACAGAACATCCCATTTCTTTATAGCCTCTGTAATCTTTCCACCTGCCCCTGTGTTGCAAAGGAACATCATGTTGCTGCCTGATAACCCAGTCATTGTCATTGTATTGAGAGAATTTGAAGGTGTTGTTTGACGCAGAGTCAGTAGTAGGATTGCAAAGGGAGGGTATATTACTGGAAACGTTCTACGTTTACCAGTAAACTACCACAATTTTGGTAGCTTGCAAGTTTTTGGGGGAGTTTTATTAGATGACATCTAGTGGCCTTTTTGGGGTACTTCAGATTATCACAGGTCTCTGTAATTATCTCTGGCCCTCTGTGTGGCCTGATTTTGAAGAAAAAAATGAATGACAAAGCTGTAAAACATTATCCTAAATATAAACCATTAATTTAGTGAATGCCATTGGTGTTTAATATGAAGGTTTCAGCATGAAATATAATATAAATTACCGGTAGCTGTCCAACTCTAGTCAGTAGTCTTGCACTGTGTCTAACACTATCAGGTAGCACCACCTGTCCCTCTGTTGGAGCACCTGAAACACAGTGGAGGGAAGCCACACTATCTTACCAGGTACTCTGATGGAGGAGATGAAAACCCAATGTTGTTTCACAGGGCTGACTGTTTGTGGTGTTGTTATTGCCTAAAGAGATAGCGAGAGCGCTCGAGAGAGAGAGCGAGCGAGAGAGTACGAGAGAGAGAGAGCGAGAGAGGAGAGCGAGGGAGAGCGAGCGAAGAGAGAGAGAGAGCGAGAGAGCGAAGAATAGCGAGCGCGCGAGAGCACGAGCGCTAGAGAGGGAAATTGCTACTCGAGCTAGCGGCTCTCTAGCGCTCTCTATATACTATCTTCGATCGCTCTCTCTCTCTATCTCTCTCTCTCTCTTCTCTCTCTCTCTCTATCTCTCTATCTCTCTCTCTCTCTTTCTCTCTCTCTCTCTTCTCTCTCCTCTCTCTATCTCTCTCTCAGGGACAACAACTTCATCAAGGACTTCCCCCAGCTAGCAGATGGACTGATGGTCATCCCATTGCCTGTGGAGGAGCAGTGTAGAGGAGTGCTGTCTGAGCCACTGTCCAATCTACAGCTCCTCACAGGTGTGTGTGTGTGTGTGGGCCTCATCCTTCTTTGGACACTCATACAAGTGTGTACGGAACATATACTTTTCTAAATTTCTTTGTCAAGGATTTACTTTACAATTACAGCTAAATTTCCTGTAAGCTCAATACCTAGAAATACTGCAGCATCATCTGCTTTATAAACCCATAAGAGTGGGACTCAGTGTGGGGTCAGCTAGAATGACACTGGTCATCCCTGTGCACTGTACTGTGCTATTGCTCCTGACATCCCCACGCCTCTGCAGTAGGCACACACGTGCACATACACACACCTCTCCAGGCCCTCTAAAAGCTGACACGTGCACCTTCTTCACCCCACATGTTCCCCTCCCACGTTCCCTTTGGGGGCCAAGACTACTCTGTCAGTTGGCTTGAAACCGCACCTCAGGACTACTACCTCAGTCCATTAGCTGAATTGGCTGCAGCACTTTGCTCCTCGTTGGCCTGTGACTAGATTCCAGAAGGGTCTGCTACTCTTCTCCGAACACCACTTGGGATAAATAAGTTCTTTAGGTTTAAGTAGGAATTCAGTTGTTGTTCTCTTCACTCCTGTGTTCTAATGGCCGTGCTGACCCAGACTCATATGATAGTTTGGTAGTGCAATTACAGAGGTGAGATTGCTCACGCCTTAATGCTGGAAATCCAATTGAAGCTATTGCGGCCATCTGCCATTGATTGCACACGGGGCGGGAACTTTCGTGACGAGAAAAATGGCCCTCTAACCAATTGTACTATTATGTGTTTTTTCGCGTTATTTGTAATTTATTCTGTACATAATGTTTCTGCCACCATCTCTTATGACCAAAAAGAGCTTCTGGATATCAGGACAGCGATTACTCACCTCGTATTGGACGAAGATTTGTTCTTTAACGAGCCGGACGCTCGTCACTGGCTTCATCAATAAGTGCATCGATGACGTCGTCCCCACAGTGACCATATGTACATACCCCAACCAGAAGCCATGGATTACAGGCAACATCCGCGCTGAGCTAAAGGGTAGAGCTGCCGCTTTCAAGGAGTGGGACTCTAACCCGGACGCTTATAAGAAATCCCGCTATGCCCTCCAACGAACCATCAAACAGGCAAAGAGTCAAGATTGAATCGTACTATACCGGCTCTGACACTCGTGGCAGGGCTTGAAAACTATTACAGACTACAAAAGGAAGCACAGGCACGAGCTGCCCAGTGACACAAGCCTACCAGACGAGCTAAATCATTTCTATGCTCGCTTCGAGGCAAGCAACACTGAAGCATGCATGAGAGCACCAGCTGTTCCGGACGACTATGTGATCACGCTCTCCGTAGCCAATGTGAGTAAGACTTTTAAGCAGGTCAACATTCACAAGGCCATAGGGCCAGACGGATTACCAGGATGTGTACTCCGAGCATGTGCTGACCAACTGGCAAGTGTCTTCACTGACATTTTCAACATGTCCCTGACTGAGTCTGTAATACCAACATGTTTCAAGCAGACCACCATAGTCCCTGTGCCCAAGGGCACTAAGATAACCTGCCTAAATACACAAAAATGTATGCACGCATGACTGTAAGTCGCTTTGGAGAAAAGCGTCTGCTAAATGGCATATTAAATGACTACCGACCCGTAGCACGCACGTCTGTAGCCATGAAGTGCTTTGAAAGGCTGGTCATGGCTCACATCAACACCATTATCCCAGAAACCCTAGACCCACTCCAATTTGCATACCGCCCCAACAGATCCACAGATGATGCAATCTCTATTGCACTCCACACTGGCCTTTCCCACCTGGACAAGAGGAACACCTACGTGAGAATGCTGTTCATTGACTACAGCTCAGCGTTCAACACCATAGTGCCCTCAAAGTTCATCACTAAGCTAAGGATCCTGGGACTAAACACCTCCCTCTGCAACTGGATCCTGGACTTCCTGACGGGCCGCCCCCAGGTGGTAAGGGTAGGTAACAACACATCTGCCACGCTGATCCTCAACACGGGGGCCCCTCAGGGGTGTGTGCTCAGTCCCCTCCTGTACTCCCTTTTCACCCATGATTGAATGGCCAGGCACGACTCCAACACCATCATTAAGTTTGCTGACGCCACAACAGTGGTAGGCCTGATCACCGACAACGATGAGACAGCCTATAGGGAGGAGGTCTGAGACCTGGCCGTGTGTTGCCAGGATAACAACATCTCCCTCAACGTGATCAAGACAAAGGAGATGATTGTGGACTACAGGAAAAAAAAGAGGACTGAGCACGCCCCCATTCTCATCGACGGGGCTGTAGTGGAACAGTTAGAGAGCTTCAAGTTCCTTGGTGTCCACATCACCAACGAACTATCATGGTCCAAACACACCAAGACAGTTGTGAAGAGGGCACGACAAAGCCTATTACCCCTCAGGAGACTGAAAAGATTTGGCATGGGTCCTCAGCTCCTCAAAAAGTTATACAGCTGCACCATCGAGAGCATCCTGACTGGTTGCATCACTGCCTGGTATGGCAACTGCTTGGCCTCCGACCGCAAGGCACTACAGAGGGTAGTGCGTACGGCCCAGTACATCACTGGGGCCAAGCTTCCTGCCATCCAGGACCTCTATACCAGGCGGTGTCAGAGGAAGGCCCTCAAAATTGTCAAAGACTCCAGCCACCCTAGTCATAGACTGTTATCTCTGCTACTGCACGGCAAGCGGTACCGGAGCGCCAAGTCTAGGTCCAAAAGGCTTCTCAACAGCTTCTACCCCCAAGCCATAAGACTCCTGAACAGCTAATCATGGCTACCCGGACTATTTGCACTGCCCCCCCACCCCCACCCCCCTCTTTTACGCTGCTGCTACTCTGTCTATTATTTATGCATAGTCACTTTAACTCTACCCACGTGTACATATTACCTCAATTACCTCGACTAGCCGGTGCCCCCGCACATTGACTCTGCGCCGGTACCCCCCTGTATATAGCCTCCCTACTGTTATTTTATTTTACTACTGCTCTTTAGTTATTTGCTTTTATTTTTTAAACTTATTTTTTTTAAATAAAAATTGCATTGTTGGTTAAGGGCTTGTAAGTAAGCATTTCACCTGTTGTATTCGGCGCATGTGGCAAATACATTTTGATTTGATTTGATTTGACTTTGTACACGGACAGTGTTTGTGTGAAAGAGAAACAAAGCTAGCTAATGCACTTCGGACAGTTACAAATGTGCCTGTGTAACTAAAACTCTGACACAAATTACCCATACCTTCAATGCATGATTTATGTGAACATTTTCAGTGAGTTTTTTACTCAAATCTCATGTCAAAATGTTGGCCTACTAAAATTGAAGAAGTATTTCATAACTATATTTATGTGTGTATGTCCATTGCAGGTGATGCCCAGTTTAATGAGGCTATGGGCTACCCCATGGTTCAGCAGTGGAGAGTGAGGAGCAACCTGTACAAGGTCAAGCTCAGCGCCATCACCTTGTCTACAGGTATGGAGTGTCAATTTACTGTCATATGTTTCCTGGTGAAACTATTTTACATGCTTACCACTACTAAACTATATCATACCGTACTGAAAACACATATAGTAAAGTATATAGCAGTTACAAAACCAATGTTTCGCTTCAGCTAGAACTACAACTCAATTGGTTCCACATTATTTCCCCTCCACACGTCCATGGTTCCCAGGCTTCTCCAAGGTTCTGAAGACACTGACTGCAGAGAGCACCAGAGAGGAGTTGCTGTCCTTCATCCAGCAGTACGGCAGCCATTACATGTCTGAGGCCCTGTACGGCTCCGAGCTCAGCTGCACCATCTACTTTCCCAGCAAGAAGGCCCAGCAGCAGCTCTGGCTGCAGTACCAGAAAGGTGAGCAGGGAAAGGGGGAAGCTGCATGTAATGCAGGTGTCCCGTCAGTCATCAGTTTAGACCCAGGGATCCAGGTGAGTGGACTATCAATAGACTTAATTGGTCAATTAAATCCCAGACAAAAGAGCAAAAGTGGGGCTTATTCAATATGGTGCAACATTCAGGACTCCTAGCATGACAGATATGATTCCTAATTTTATAAGTGGCCATTGCCCCTGAGACAAAGCAGAGAGAAAAGCCTCTCGGAATTCCTTCAGTTGCATTTCATAATTCAGTTTTTCCTTCAACAGAAATATTAGGCAAGACCTGAAGGGGCTTTTGTACTGTACTATGCTGCACCACTGAGACCTTCACACTGGAATTTGTCTGTTACTGATGGGGTGAGGGCTGTGGATAGCATGAAAAGTTTGTTTAATGTTTTACCAAATAAATGGGTTCAAAGTATGCATTGTAAACACTGGAATACAAAGAGACATGCTTTGAATAATTTCTTATGAAAATCAATTAATTTGCTGCACTGCAGATATTTCCAAAGTATTTACCATAGGTAGGCTTATAGTACAAAGTGCTATTGACCGGACAGGTGTAGTGAAATGTGTTGTTTTACAGGGTCAGCCATAATAGTACAGCGCCCCTGGAGAAAGTTAGGGTTAAATGCCTTGCTCAATGGCACAGACATATTTTTCACATTGTCGGCTCGGGTATTTGAACCAGCAATGATTTGGTTACTGGCCCAACGCTCTAACCGCTAAGCTACCTGCCATCCCACATTTTTTACATTTTCCCAACAGCCAGTGTCATCTACAATATAAATTCCTGCCTGGAAAATCTGAAACCACAACATACAGATCTTTATCAATATTGGGTTTATTGCACTAAATAGATAATCAACATTACAAACATGAAATCGAGAATCAACATTACAAACATGAAATCGAGACTCACGTTACGCAGAAACTCATCTAATGTGATAGTAACACATACTGTAAAGTCTCTGCCTCCACCAAATAAGGCCAAACTTCTGAAAGACACATGGGTTGGTTCAACACACATAATGCACAGAAACAGAACATTCAGAAGACCCAGTAGTATATATATATATATATATATATATATATATATATATATATAAATATAAACACAAACTCAGAGGAAATAGGCAATTACATGTAAAGAAATCTCTCTCCAGATAAGTTCAGTGAATAATAAAATCACCATTTAGACAGAGAGCAACATTTTTGTTGTTCATCACATTGAAACAAGGACACTTGATTTTTCTTGCATTTTATGACTTTTTATATTGTAAATAATGTAATAGATTTGGAATATCTGAAGTGATTTGTCAGTTAGGCTTGAAATATAGGTAGTGTGATATGTCAGTTAGGCATGGAATAGTCCTACCTGTAGTGATCATTTTAGAAAGTATTTTGTAGTGAGAGACTATTGCAGTGACAAGGTTAGCATGCTGTCTACCACAATATCTTGAATTTAAATCCTTTGGTGATTCAAAAAATATGGTTTCACAAATGTCTCATGAGTACAATAAATTACCAGAATTTCACCTATGTACTCATCTGTATTTTTTCTTTGCCTCAGAATAATAAAGGATGTCCATTGTTATAGCACAATGCAATCCCTGGATATGTGATTGGAATTACAGAATAGGAAGAAGTTCCCCCACTAATGGTTCAAGTTAAGGGAGGGTAAGCTGATCCTAGATCTGTGTCTACAGGAAACGTAACATTTGCAGGTTGAAGATGGAGCCGCCTGGGAGTCCAACACTCCAGTCAGCAACTTGAACTGCATGATATACATTTTATTGATGGCTGGGTTATAGTGATCATGTCCATGATCCCATCCTTTACATTTAGGTTTGAGAAGTTTTCGATTAGACATGCCTTCTAAATCAATAAGGCCTGTAAGCGCAATTATTTTTTGCAATGTATTTTCTTGTCACGTCATTAGGCTTAGTAATTGTCATAAATCTCATATTTTGTACAGTACATCAATTAAAATATAACAATTTCACACGTTGATTGACATACCGGTTTCCCCCAACCCCAAAGTGACAAAACTGATGCATTATTGCTGTCTTTAGTGCTGTGATCCATAAAATCAACCGAAGCAGCTCAAATGGTAGATACACAGGCTTGGTTCCAGTGTGCTCCTAGCCAGTCCCACTGACTGACCAGGGATCAGTGATTAGAATATGGGCTCATAATATGACTTGCTAAGCACTGACCAGAGATCAGATCATGGAGGAGCACGAGTTGTTTGGAATGCAGCCATTTATTTTAAAGTGACAGATCAACAGTTCACCACAGTCTCTACACACACGCCCACACACCCCCCCCCACACACACACACACTAGATTTGTAGTTTCTTAGCCCCTAGCAGGTAGAGGAGCGTCTCCTCTGTAGGTACGAGTAGACTTTTACACAGTGGTCCCAGCAGTCCAGCACCATCAGCTGTCCTTTCTGTGTGACGGCCACGCCCACAGGGCACGTCAGTCCCTCCTGGATGAGCACGTTGAAGCCGCCCTCTTTGGGGAACTGCAGGATCTCCTTCCTGCCGCTGTCCGTCACCAGAAGGTCCCCGTTTGCATCCACGCACATGCCCGTGATGCAACGGAAGTCCTCAGTCTCAGAGAAGAAGTGGCTTAGCTGCTTGCCCAGCTGGCCGTCCGTGCCTACCGAGCCGATGGAGAAGCCCCCCTCTAGGTGGTGCTCGTTGTGGCGATTCTCAATGTTCAGGCCCAACCCCTGGGTGAAGTAGACAGTGCCCGCTGCATCGCACGTCACGAACTTGGGCCGCACGGCCGAGCACAGGCGGTTGTAGTTGACCACACCCACGTTGCGGTCCACCGCCAAGCACCAAAGCTTGCCACCCTCCACGTCAGACACCACGAATTCACCCGAGGGCATGGCGGCGATGCCCCAGGGCTTGATCAGCTGATTCTTGTGGCAAGCCACGCAGTGGCCGTCGGTGGTGTACACCTTGACCGAGTTGTCGTAGTTGTCGGTGACCCCGATGAGGCCTTGAGGCGTGATGGCGATGGACAGTGGGATGAGGTTGGGCAGGTCGGCGCCCAGGAAGCTCAGGACAAAGTTGTCGATGCTGCTGGGGTTGCGGCGGATCTCCCTCTGGAAGCCCTTGCGGTTAAAGATCTGGATGCGATAGTTGCCCCGGTCAGCCACCAGGACCTCACCCTGTGGGGTGACGCAGATGCTAACTGGCAGGTTGAACATCCCCGGCAGGTTACCCTTGCAACCCATCTTTTTTACAAACTGGCAGTGCTGTGGCCCTGAGCCGGCCCTGGCATCACCGGGCGAGGAGGGCCCCCCTTCGTCCATGGACTTGGACTTAAAGCTGCCCGGTGAGGCACACACAGCCTCATCAACAGGCATTACCATATCAATGTCTCTGTACAGGTCCCCCACCGCCCCTGCAGCCTTGCACATGGCACCAACCCCAAACTCCAGCAGCCCCTCATCCTCATCAGTGTTGACGGTGCAGGGTTTGGTGGTGAGCTGGGCCACATCCAGGGCCTCGGGGTGCTCCGTAGTCACCAGCTCAGGGTCCTGGAGCTTGATCAGCGTAGGCAGGTCCAGGCTGCTCCTTAGGTCCAGCTCCTCCTCGTCCTTCCCCCCTCCATCCTCCTCCAGCAGGGCGATGTCACTCTGCTTCACCTGCATGGTGAGGTAGTCGCAGCGGGACACCACCTGCACCTCGGCCAGGTTCAGCAGGTATGTCTGCTCCTCCAGGATCTGCCCGTTCAGCTTCTCCACTTCAGCCATGGAGGCAGCGAAGGCCCGCCGCTGGCGCCCCAGCTCCTCCTGCAGACGCAGCTCAGCCCGGGCGTACTCCTGCTGCACTACCCGGTACTTCACCCGCATGTTCTTTGCCAGACTGTCAATGGCTGCCCTCTTCTTCTGGATGTGGTCCATGGCTTCGCGGAGGGATGCCAGCTTACCACCCAGGTCCTTCCGGCGCTGCTCAGCGGCCGCCCGGATGGGCTGGACGGCGTGGCCCTGCTGCTGGTGGCCCTCACCCTTGCAGAGGTCGCAGAGCACCATGCCGCAGTCTAGGCAGTACTGTCGGGGTAGGCGGTTGCGGCAGGACTTGCACATGAGGGCGCCGGCAGTGGTGCAGGAGCTGGCACAGTCCAGGATCTTGAGCACAGTGAGGTTGTCGGACAGCTGGGAGATGCTGCTCATGCGGGAGACCCTGCTGCAGAAGGGGCAGCGCACGCCGTTGATGGTGCTAGCCAGCAGCTTCTCCAGACACTGTCTGCACACGGTGTGGCCACACTGCAGGAGCTTGGGCCGCAGCTGCTCCTGGTTGTAAGTCTCCAGGCAGATGGGGCACTCCAGGACTTCCCGGAGCAGGTCCGGGTCCAGAGCCGGCAAAGCTGCCGCCATCGTGTTCACACCTGAGAGGAGAGGAAATGGTTCACTACTCAAAGTATCAATGACAATGACTGTTGGGAAGAGGTTGTATTGCCAACAACTTATAACAAGCCAAGTAAAGATGCGTTGTCATGATTTGTCATTAAAATGGCTGAATAAATCATTACCATTCCTCTAATGGTGCATTGCATTTTGACCACGTCATCGTGTTTACAAGTGTCCCGGGGGGGGGGGGGGGGGGGTTAATGAACTACTAGAGTCACCTCTCAGGAACATTGGAGGAATAAACAACACTGTGCGAAACTTACACGTACACTTACTGTAACTGATACAGTACACTTTAGCTGGCCATAGGTTTGAGGGGTGTGTAGCACAAGCTATTCAACAGCTTGATGAAGCTAGCCTGCTTTCAAGTAGTTATACCACTTCTCATGACCACATTTAGCTAACTAACTACTGACTTACTCGCTTATCTACCCTAACTAACTAGCTCGCTAGCTATACGAATGCAGCGACCTTTTGTGTTATTGAGCTGTCAATATGTTAGCTAAATGCTAGCTGTTAGCTGGCTAACGTTAGCTTAACGGAGATTTCTCAAATCAAGCTGTCACTACACGGCCAATGCAAATGAAAACAGCATTCGTTATTTGCATGCAGACAACGCATTGCTGTACAGTTGTTGCCATACTACACACAATTAATAATTGATAAGCTCGTGGCATGATGCTGTTTTGCTTGCTGATGCTAGCTGATGCGAGCT